GGGAGCCCGATGTGGGACTCGATCCTGGGACTCCAGGATCATGACCTGAGCCGAAGGCAGTCGCTTAACCAACTGAGCCACCCAGGCGCCCTTGAAAAAATATTTTAACCATGCAGTTCAGTAGTTAGGAGTAAAAGTTTTAGAACCATGATGGACCAAGTTTCAGATTTTGGCCCAGCTCCTTAACTAGATACATGACACTGGGTGAGTTACTTCCCTAAGCCTCAGATTCCTCATCTATAAGAGGGGAATAATACCTTTCTTACAGGGATTATCATGAGATAATATATATAAAGCATCTAGCATAGGGCCTTGCACATTCTAGTTGTTCAACAGATGATTGTGGGTTTTTTTTTTAAGTTATATGTGGATTCTTTTTGCTTCAGCCTCTGCTAGTAAATTTAAGTATCTAACTATTTGATCATCACATTTATAAAAATCCAGTTTTGTTTAATTCCTCAAAATTATAGCATTAAGCAAGATATACCTGTGCATATTATTCTGACGTGACTTTTTTCCCCCTCATAGAAATAAATTTATTCTGGGGCGCCTGGGTGGCTCAGACGGTTAAGCGTCTGCCTTCGGCTTAGGTCATGATCCCAGGGTCCTGGGATCAAGCCCCGCATCGGGCTCCCTGCTCCGCAGGAAGCCTGCTTCTCCCTCCTCCACTCCCCCTGCTTGTGTTCCCTCTCTCGCTGTGTCTCTCTCTGTCATATAAAAAAAAAAGAAAAAAAGAAATAAATTTATTCTGCATATTTTTCTGTGCCATAAAACATGCTGGGGAAAGGTGGCTCTTAGAAATATTCTCCATAACCAGTTCAGAAAGGCCTTCCTAAGTTTATTAAACCAGGCTTTGAAGTAGTTCTGGTATCTGAACTAATTTAATGTTCATATTTTTGTAGAAAATATTTATTGAATATAAATCTATGCCATTTTCATCCCTCAAACCCAGGCAAGGGGCTAGAAGCTGTTATTTAAAGTTTCTTCATGGTGACATTTAAAACATACTATAAAATTATAATGAGAAGTTGCCCTTCCTAAATAAGGAAGTAAACCACAAGCAGTGTTTTTAAGCCCATTGGAAAAACAGGTACAGAATAGGCTTTGCCATATTTTTTAAAAAGAGTGATTAAGAGTGTTTGGGAGCAAGGTAGGAGCTTTATCTCCAAGCTTTTAGAAAATATTACAAATTAGAGGCGCCTGGGTGGCTCAGTTGGTTGGGCGGCTGCCTTCGGCTCAGATCATGATCCTGGAGTCCCGGGATC